TTATTTACGGCGGATGGTAGGGCATTATTCCAGCGTACAGCTACATCGCGCGTCACTTTTCAAATAGACCAATGTAATAAATGTAAACAAATCGAGTTAAGCGATACAAATTATTGCTCTTCTATCATTGTATGTGATACAAAAACATCCATCCAAAATTTAAGATAATCATAGGTGAAACATTGTCCAATGTACAGTTTGAAATGGTGGGTACATGTTTGTTACTTCGGTCATTCGGACTGCCTAACATGATTGGTGCTCATTTTCTAAAGGCGGGGCCAATCTAAAGTTAGGTACTCTACTATGACATCTGTGAAAGGGAATCTAGTTTCATGTAGAACAAATCGTCCAATGTAACACTAATTGATTATTTCATTGAGAAAAATCGCCCAATGTAACATGCCGACTAGTCAAAACGTCCTATGTGGTTTTTGCTATATTTTAGCTTGAAATTCAAATCAAAATTGTGATTTTACCGTTTCTACTGAATTTTCAACGTTATTATTCACTGACTACATTAAAAATAGTATTGTAAAATGTATTGTTTCTAAACAGTTAAAATAATAATCTGTCAAACTTCAACTTCGATTTTCTCAAAATGGTGGATATGGTCTATTTGAAAAGTAACGCGAGAATTGTTTGCCTCGATAATGTTTGAGTAAAGGGTGATACGGTCAAAATTTGGTCAAGGGAAAACGCGTGTAAATCGGTGAAATCGTTTATTTAAAAAATCAAATTAAATTTCTTTTTCAAGTTCAATTAGTATAAAATTCAGGAAAAATATTCAGTTAGGCTTCCGCTTTTCCAAATCCGAATTACCGGGCCTTACGCTTGACCCCTGCCATCAGATTTTGTACAGCCACCTTGTCCACCTTCTTCGCCGCAGAAAGCCAGTTTGCCTTGAACTGCTGCTCGCCCTTAGCAGTTTTTTTGGTCTTCTTTAGGTTCCGCTTGACAATAGCCCAGTATTTCTCAATTGGGCGGAGCTCTGGCGTGTTGGGAGGGTTCTTGTCCTTGGGAACCACCTGCACGTTGTTGGCGGCGTACCACTCCATGGCCTTTTTACCGTAATGGCAAGATGCCAAATCCGGCCAAAACAGTACGGAACAACCGTGTTTCTTCAGGAAAGGCAGCAGACGTTTATCCAAACACTCTTTCACGTAAATTTCTTGGTTGACAGTCCCGGAAGCTATGAAAATGCTGCTTTTCAAGCCACAGGTACAGATGGCTTGCCAAACCAGATATTTCTTTGCGAACTTTGACAGTTTCATGTGCTTGAAAACATCTGCTACCTTTCCCCTTCCTTTTGCCGTATAAAACTCCTGTCCCGGAAGCTGCTTGTAGTCGGCTTTGACGTAGGTTTCGTCGTCCATTACCACGCAGTCAAACTTCGTCAGCATCGTCGTGTACAGCCTCCGGGATCGCGCTTTGGCCGTCGTATTTTGTTTATCATCGCGATTTGGAGTCACTACCTTCTTGTAAGTCGATAGTCCGGCTCGTTTTTTGGCTCGATGCACGGTTGTAGACGATACACCCAGCTTATTTGCGGCATCTCGGAGAGAGAGGTTAGGGTTTCGCTTGAAACTACCGGCAACTCTCTTTGTCGTCTCAGCGGCTTCCGGTTTTCGATTTCCCCCCGATCCAGACTTCCTGGCTGTCGACAAACGTTCCCCAAACACTTTAATTACATTTGTAACGGTTGATTTGGCAACTTTTAGCGATTTTGCCAACTTTGCGTGCGAGTAGCTCGGATTTTCGCGATGCGCGAGCAAAATTTTGATACGCTGCTCTTCTTGCTTGGACGGCATTTTGACAACTGAAGAGTGAATTCCAAAATCAAAATAGGAGCAACATTCTACACACACACACACCTTCAAAATGAGGGGTGTTCAGGTTTTTTAAATGCAAAATTGAAAGAAATACGTCAAGTTGATATTGACCAAATTTTGACCGTATCACCCTTTAAATGAGCGGAACTAACCAACAGGTAAATAATAATAAAATAGCGGGCGTGGCGGGCTTCTTGGACAATTTTCAAGACTAATCAAACTTCAACATGCTTATGCGGAGTGAATAAAGTAACTGATAGAAATAGGGGAAACGCACTAACATAGGCGTAACCAGAGGGAGGAAGGGGGGGGGGGCAACTGCAACACAAAGGCTTTCGGTGAAATGGCATTCGCCAAATTTACCATAGTAATTTTTTTTGTCCCTCCCTAGCTCGAAACCTGGCTACGCCCTTGCGCACCAATATTGACCATGTTAATATTTTGGCCACCTTTTGACGATATTTCACGTTGTTTGCAATTTTGAAATGTTCCGTTGTGTTCACTTTGTTGGTGTACATAAACATTTCGACCGCAAAATGCACGAACATTGTAATTTAATTGGTTTTCTGAGATGTGGCCAAAATAGAAACCTATGACCAATACTGGTGCACTTCCACTATGTGTGGTATTTCTATTAGGTGAACTCGTATAGTGCAGAATGAGAGGTACATGAAGATTCGAAGTCAATTGTAAAAAATGTTCGCCATATAGCCATTAAAATTTAGTCGTAATTGTAAACAGACGGGCTACTTGGGACAGATATGTTTTTGAAATTTTATTAAAAATATCTATTGATATCATCATGGATATCCTGAACTGCATTCAAATATAAACTATCTGTGAGCTATTAATTATCATAGCACTTATATATTTAGTTCAATAAAACGTTTTTGAATTTATAAAGTTGTTCTTTTTTAAACCCCACTTTATAAATTATATTTTCGTAATGCGAACAGCTTAAGTGGAACCCGCAAAGCTGCGTCGAAGTGAGCGTCAGCGTCAAATTTGAATCTGATCACTGACTGAACCTGACTGACGCAGCGTCGATGTGAAGTCGCCAAGTAGGAAAAGCAACTTCATACTTAGAAATAACTAATTTCACACGTGACGGAATCCATTTTCGACATAAAGTATGAGACGTAAACACACATTTCATGTAAAATTAAGGGCTTCGACACTGAAAAGTTCCATACTCGACAAAAATTACGTTTGATTGAACTGAATTTCGCGTCTGTTATTTCTCAATTTTATGTCAAAATTGACGCTCGTATATGTCAGTCTCAGAGCACCTAAATTTACATTGTTTTTTCTAAGTGTGTTGACATGCCGGACGCAGTATTGTGGGTTCCGCTTTACAGTCGTAGTATGTATAATATTGTGGCGGAACATTGAATCGGTTTATCAATTTACTTAATCTACCAAATTAAAATAGTGTGCAGAGCAGCCCGCTCATTCAAAAGAAACCCACCAGACAGAAAATAAAGCTTACTCGCCAAGGTGAAACCATTTAATTTGATGCAGGTTTTTAAACTGGATACATATTTTAAAATACATGTACAATAAAATACAAATACATTGATACATAGAACTCCAATGTATTTTTTTTAGTAAAAATGTTGGCATTCTAAATTAAAAATTAAAACAAATTCTCAAATTTTTCAAAATAAATTTTCTCAAAAAAAAAAAAAAAAAACCTCCACCAAACTTTTCCAGAATTATGTGCAGGTATCAAAAATAAAGACTGCATACCAGATTTACTTGGGTAAGTCCACAGTTTTTGGTATAAGGAGATGTAATATTGGAATTTTTGAATAAAATTGACACGGGCCTTGTTCGCAAAATTTTCATTTGTTAATAATAAAAAAAAAGTTACAATAAGGACTCTGGGATCCAAAAGCGTGTACCTCACCAGTAAGTCCAGCGATGCTTGCTGGAACACTGGGATAAAAACCAAATAAGAAGCCTGCACTCCTTGACTCCAGTGCTGTTAATTTTCATATCATTCGACTGAAGATGAACCAATAAAACCATTCAATCAATTCAGTGAAAACATCATTTGAAGAGCCCCTTTCTCATTCGAACCTCATCGTCACTGTCAATTGAGTCTCTCACTCTCATTTGATATACGACAGTGGAGTATGGAAGAAACCCAGCAAAATGGTCCCGAACAGACAAGTCGACCCGATGTCGGATCAATGTAAGGCAAATTTAACGTCGATGTCGATCCAATGTCGGATTGATGTCGGATCACTTTTGGGTTTATGTCGAGGCAATGTCGGCTCAACATCGGGTTGAGGTTTGGTAAAAGTCAGGTTGGTGTCGGGTTGGCTTAGCTTTTTCGCCGGAATGTCGACCCAAGCTCCGTTTATGTGTTAAACGGATTTAATCAAGCCAAAAAGTTTTTCTTAAAGGAGCAAAATGTGGTTCCTTCAGTCTTTTTTTGCACATTGAAGATAGTCGAAGCAAAGCGGAGAAGAAGAGCGCATGGTATTAAAAACTGAGTGAAGTTGGAATTTTACTTTCCTATTTTTATACTCTGAGGTGGATCCATCTCTACCTGGGACCTTTTGAACTCATCAACACATGGGCAGGGACCAACGGCTTTACGTTCCTTCTGAAAGAAGACGTGACCAGAGAAAGTCAATATTCAATTATTGCTCACCTGAATCTCCAAGGCGGGCAAGGCTACATGAGGCCATTGACCGAGAGGAATGGAGACGACTTCTATGTATAATACCAGAATACCAGGTCTTAGCCTCGATGGAAAGGTAAAGCAAGGTAATTCTTGTACAACATTTATGTTATAAATTCACGCAATTCAACACTTCATAATACAACTTGCAAGAGAACGTTCATATTTTTCATCTGCGCCTGCATTCAAGCTGCATGCAGTTTGATTGAAACACGGCAAAATTCTAAAATACAGGCATTCAATTTCAAATGCTCAGACATTAGCTCAGCATTGGATTTCAAACACCTACTGCGCGTGAACCTTGATCCTTTTGTTGGGTTTTCAAGCTTGTCGTTTGGGGAATTGATTTGAAACGACGGTTTTAACAAGAAAAAAAAAATCTTGGAGCAGCCTTTAAGATGTAGAAACTATGCAACATATTTTTTTTCCAAACTTCATATCGATTGTCTGCATTTCGATCCACTGAAAGTTATACTTACGTGTTCGTCCACCGAATATGTGAGCTCCCCGTCGTCGTACAGCACGAACCACCGTCGCTGCCATCGCTGAAAGAAAGAGTTAAATAAATATAGGAAATTAATTATGACAGTCATAAATAAGAATTCGAGGGGTTGAGTTTTGCAAAACAACAAATAAAAGTGAAAAGACAAAAAAAAATACTATATGATACTTGCTTGTGCACCAAGTCGATGGTGTAAATGGGTGGTGTTAATAAATTGGTCATAATTGAAGGGGAGATAAGACAAATAAATTTAGGGAAGATCTGTGCTGCTCGAAAGAGAAAGAAATCATTTTCCTTCACTCGCAAGATGGGCGACAATATTTATGTAAAAGTCTTTATTTGGATGGTAAGAGTAGAATGTTTATTGGCGCTATAACTTATCCAACTTTTTGGGTAGTACAAAGTTGAAATTACGATAATGAGGAAGATGGTTGGGATTTTTGTTTCTCTTGTTATTCAATATTTTAAAGCAAAAAACAGGGCGCAATGGTCGAGGTGATATGTTTTACACGGCGAACATGTAGCAAAGTAGGGCTTGGACGAAACGAAAGCCGTGCCGAAAAAAGAGAGAAAGAGCATTCAAATTCCTCTTTGGGACATTATTACCAAATGTTTGCAATGGTAACGGTTTCTTAAGTATCTGCAGGGAATCGAACGCGTGCTCCTCGGTGCCTGAGCTTAAAGATCCCCTTTTATGGTTTATTTCGTTTTAATTTGCTTGTCTTTTGGATGTATTCATAGTAAATTAAGCGTTTTATAGTTATTTGATATTTTATTTACACCAACATGGTGGACATATTTTAAGGCGCCGGACTCAGTAAGCACAAGCACAAGTACAAGCACAAGTGTATTTTTTTGCTGTCCTCTTTACCTTGGAACTGTCCCAAACGAATCAGTGAGGTGGATTCTGTCACTAGCACTTACTTTTAATTGATTAATCGCTCAAAACGTAGGGAGGCTTAACTTTTCGCGATTGACCTAAAAAAAAACTTGGAACCGACGGATGCTTGAAGAGTTTTAAGATGAGGACTAACGCATGCTTCTGCGTATTGGGGGGATGGTGAGATAAAGATTGTATCAAATTATAGGCTATGAAAATGACGTCGGTTGTTAGGATTGAAGCCAATAAGCAAGAATTTATGTAGAGAACGTGTGTGAAGACAGGCAGACTATAAGGGGGGGGGGGCATAATTTCAGATAATGCGTGAATTGATTCCAAGGAAACATTGAAGGTATTTGGAGCAAGGGAAATTGCTAAGAAGTAAAGAAAATGGAAACTATGCAGAATCCCCTGGCTGCCCATGAGCAGGACTGAGCAAAGGATCAATATTGTAGCACATTCTTTCCGCCTCCTGGTAGCGATGGAACTGATTGGTGGGGAGAATCATGCAGTAATGAACGATCTGAAAAATAATTTGATTTTTGATCATGGGTAAACTGCAAGTATCAGCAGACGTGGAGAAATTCAGTGAGTATCCGAATACAGTCTACTATCTTCAACTCAAAACTAGAGCTTCCATTTCCCGGTGGTTTTCACCATCCCGGGATTCGGGAAATATTTATTTGATATCCCGGGATCCCGGGAAGTCAATAAAGGCAGTAAATTGTTTTAATATTCGTATGTATCTAATTTCTTTTAACGATGTTCTGAAATGCATGTTTCATCTCCTTAGAAGAATGATTAAAAAATGAGATTTCTTTAATACTAGGGACACCAGATTTAACGACATATCTTCATTTTGAAGACATTTAAAATTCTGTGAAGGCAGATATGCAGACATTTTGAAGACATTTAATGATATGTGAAGTTGTTTCAAGACATGTGGAAGCTGAAGAAGACTTCCGATGGATTTTTTTTTATTTTAAGCTGGCATATGAAGATTTTTGTTAAATAAATGAAGTTTTTGATTTCATATTTTAAGCTTCTTCCTGAATATGTTGAATATGAATAATGTAACCAAAATCGGATGTTTCAAAATAAAACTTGATCCAATTGAATATTCACAGGACTTTCACGGAAATATTCGATTAGCTGGAGATCTTTTGAATACTTCCTGATCAACGTTCAGTTTTGGGTGAATATCTTCACAATAATACTTGATCGACCTGAAGTATTGAAAAATATCCAGAAGTCTTTAAATCTCCGACCAGCTGTACATCCTTTAAATACTCTCTCATCAAACTTCCGTCTGGGAAGGATGTCAAGAAGACGTCTTTTGAATTTTTGAACACTTGCAAATATTCAGAACATTACTTGATTAAGTTGGAAAGTCTTGAATAATATCCAGAGATTTCATCACAAATCCGTGAATATCAGTTATATGAAGATTCGTGTACTTTCAAGAAGTTTCTTGAACTTAAACTCCATGAACTCAAAGCCTATATAAAGTTCCCTGAATATGTAGAATATTCTACGAAATCCTGGGATTTTTCGTCAACTTCTTCGAAGTTCCCAGTACTTCAAATATTTTTCCATAGCTTACATCTTTTAATTTTTCGATGGGTACAACTGCATTTCTGCCCAGCTTGCTGAACTTGTACGAATTTCAAATAATTCATGCGATGTTCCGTAATCATCGTCCACAAAGTTGTTTACAATAGATCAAATTACTGGTTGCCGTGGTGTTAGGTCCCGAACAGAGGAAAAAAAAACAGGTTATGAAATAGCTAAATAATGACAAGAAAGACAGCCTGGCGTAGTGGTTAATGCACATTAATGCATCTTACGGTGCTGACGGTTACGTGGTTATATCCCATTTCCATCATAGACGTAAATAGAGGAATCATAAACGAAAATTTTGTAGAAACAATTGTGGCCGTGAAAGTCATCTTTTACTACTAACAAACCGACGTGAAAGTTAAATGTCAGCTTTACTCGAAAATTTCTAACGGTCGATTTAAATGAGAACCAATCTTATCGGTCAAAAATAAGTAACCAAACAAACCCAGAATCAATTTAGTTTAACTACATGTAACCAAATTTGAGTGAATCAACTGTTGCATTGGTTCTTAACCAAATTAGGGTTAAATTTAACAATGCTTGAGTAACTATTACGCAGTAAAATGTAAAAATTCCAAAAAAGTGTATGTATTTTTTTATATAGCGTATGAAAAATGCAAAATTTTGGAACATTTAAACCATTTTTGGTTTTGGTTTGATTAAAAGTTGTTTATTCTTAAACAATAAAACCGTGGTAAAAAACAAATTTGTGTTTATAAATGCTCAACGTCTTGCATGTCGACTATCCTATCCGCTAATGTGTTGCTTATGTCGTTCTCTTGCATTAATTGTTGATCGAAATCGCAAAACAATTGATTCGCCGTTTTACTCTTTGCCCATGTTCAATCAAGTGATCTGCCGCTGCTTCTAGTTCAATTGTCTCGGCCATGAATTCATCCTTGATCGTGCTCAGTACAGACAACCCACTCCGGGTTGTTTCCAGTCGAACAGCTTCTGATAGTGGCGCAGAACGGAAAAATTACAGCGTAAAATTCCGAGGCATTTCTGACATTCGGCGTTCTTGTTCATGCCCAGAGCCTCCAGGTACTTGAATTTCTAGTGAAATGATGTCTGTGTAGATCCCGACATTCTTGCACCTGAACGAGCCAACCAATTCCTAAAACGATCTATACATACAATAAACTGCGTTTGAATGGAATGTATGCGAATCCTTACTAACTTCTTTCTCCATGATACGAACTGTTTGCTATCAATTTAATCCATAGAAAGACGTCGCTTCTGGGCTTGATCTTACATTATGACAAACTTGTTCAATATACTTTTCGCTCCACAGTGTTTATACGGTTTCAAATCGGGTCCTGATAAGCCTCTCAAAATTTGAAATCGTTTGATTAGAATCTGACTGTGCACAAAAGCATTGTATGGGAATTATTGTGTGAAATCCAAACTTTTTGAATATTGCCTTCTACCCTTTTTCTATATTGCTCTGAGTGAAAGTTCGATAGCTTTTCTTTTAGAAAATTTTCTCAGCTTAAAATTAGCTGAAGATCGTTTTTTAGTCAAATGACAAATGAAATATTAATTAATTATTTAAGAGATGGGTAATCTTATGACATGATCAAGCAGTTACTTTGTAGGCATCACTGTATCTTGCAGTGTGGCATAGAACCCATGATTTTTCTGCTAAAATTCACGTGCCTGAAACACCAATGTTGCCTGCTGAGCAGTTGATTAGGCATGATCATAAGACATCAGCCTCTTGAACCATTAATAACTTTAGTTCCTTAAATTTAATAGTAAAGTGGTCAGGCAAAGTTGGAACTAAAAAAAAATCATAGGAGCATAGTTACCAAAATTGTTTGTAAATAAATATGGTGAATTGTTAGAAAGCTATGAACAAAAACATTTCTTTTGTCATAGTAATTCCCATATAAGCTTCAACCACTTTGTGTATAGTATAGTTTTTAACTAAATGATTTCAAATTTTGGAAGGGTGATCAGGACCCAATTTGGAGCCGTTTATTTAAGCACTATGGAGTGAAAATTTCAAATTTTGCATTACACTATTGTCCATCGCACTAAAATCAGGAACAGCTGCCCATGTTGGGACCTGCACAACTGCAGTATACAACAGATATATCAACAAATTTCTCCTCGAGAGGCAATGTTACTGGTTAAAAACGCTCCTGGTCTGCTCTTTATCAAATTGAAAATTACGTCATACTAATTCCGAACAGCATCGAAAAAGTTGTGCTCAAATTCGAAAACAAACGTTTATTCTAAGTTCCCTCCATGGTTGCACTCAATATTATCTGCATTAAAACGCTGCCCCGAATAGGGTAAAGTGCTACTTCATCATACAGGACCCATTTTCATCAGACGTCTCAAAAACAATGAAGGCAATCAGCTACATCCAACATTTATACATAACATTCTTTGCTCACAAGTTAAATTAAGATTAATATAACATAGACTTTACGAGAATGTTGAATTACCGATTTGAAAGGCTGTGAATTGAGATGAAGTTGTGTCAAAACTGAACCAAAAAGAGCTTGAAAAATTATCAAAGTGAGACTCAAGTT